TACTGAAGGGTATTCTGCTTTTACTGTTATGTTTTAAGTGTTATGTTGTAAGCAGTTAGTGGTTAGGGATTGGTTGTATGTTATGTTTCAGATTAATAAAATTCAGAGGCACTCTTTTCCTCCTTCCTATGTCCTTCATGTTACTAATGCAACATGTAGGTTATGAAGGGGTTTTTTTAATGAGGCCTATCTTCTATAAAAAAAAATAATAAACGAAGAAAAAAGTAGACATCTAAAAGATTTTGGTTCTCAGTATGATGGTCTCTTATTGGGATATCTTTTGTAATTCTATCGACAGGTTTTGGACATGATTAATAATCCTCATTATCTGTATCGGATGACCATTCTACATGCAATTTCTCTACTTGCCCCTGTTATGGGCTCAGACATCACTTGTTCAAAACTTCTCCCTGTGGTTATTAATGCTTCAAAAGATAGGTAATGTCGCTGCACATGGAGTATGATTTGAAAGCTTATTTGTTTGATAAAAAATTGCATGACGCAGGGTACCCAACATCAAGTTTAACGTGGCGAAGGTGCTGCAGTCAGTAATTCCGATTGTTGATCAATCTGTGAGTAATTTTATCTTACTCTGATAATTGTCACGTGGTAGATTTGTTATATCAGTTTCCCTTCCTTAAACAAGTTGAATGCGAAGTGTAATTTCTCCTGGTTCTAAAATTTGGTATATGTTTGGCGGCCGTGATATTAGGCCGGATTCTCATGTATTTAAACAAATGCTTACCTAAAAAAATGGTGAGAGAAATGTTGTATGCAAATGAAAAGGGGAAAAATAGGCAGATAAACCTTGTGTTGATTGTAACTGAATTTTTTTGGATTGATGAGCAAATAATGATGATACAGGTGGTGGAGAAGACAATCCGTCCATGCTTGGTTGAATTGACTGAGGATCCTGACGTTGATGTGAGGTTTTTTGCCACTCAAGCGCTAGAGTCGAGCAATCAGGTCATGATGTGCTAGGTCCAAGAGTCTTTTTTTGTTACTTCCTCTGCTGCGTTCCTTTGCACAAACTTGTTTTGTGTTAAGAAATTTGTTTAGACTTATATCTGGCCTTGCCCCTCAATGATCGAAACAAGTTCTTGACGGGGTACTACTATTGGCTTCAAACAAGCAAACAATTAAACGGAGACGATTTCTGTAAAATCTGAATTAGATGAAGTCTGAATTAAAGAACTACCCACATCTAGCAAGAAATAATGGATATTTGAGGGTTAATTTTCGCTGCACTTGTGTATCTGGCTTCAAATTTTATCCGAGTTCATAGAAACTGAATCCACGGAGAGCGAGTGTACTATTTACAAATATCTGAACTCGAATGATGTAGTGTAATAAATTTAACTATTTTTTTTTTACAAAACTAGAAATTAAATTATACGATTTGTTTTCTTTTACAAAAATAGGAAAATATATCAAACAATTTGTTTCGATTTATTTCCTTTTATAAAATAAAAAACTAAATTCAATGATTTTTTAACAAAATAGAAAAATAAATTTAACGATTTATTTCCTTTTATAAAACATAAAATTAAATTCTATGGATTATTCTTTTTCCAAAATAGGTAAACAAATATAATGATTTATTTCCTGATATAAAATAGGAAACTAAATACTATGATTTATTTCTTTTTACAAAATAAGAAAATGAATTTTACAAATTATTTTCTTTCACAAAATAAAAAAATAAATCCAACTATTTATTTTGATTTATTTCTTTTTTACAAAATAGGAAAATAAATCCAAAGATTTATTTCCTTTTACAAAACAGGAAATTAAATTTTATGATTTTATTTTATAAATAGGAAAATAAATTGAACATATTATTTTCTTTTCCAAAAAAAGAAAATAAATCAAACGATTTATTTCCTTTTATAAAACGAGAAATAAAAATTCTATAATTTATTTCTTGCTACAAAACAGGAAAATAAATTTAATGATTTATTTCTTTTTATAAAACAGGAAACTAAATTCTGCGATTTAGTTCCTTTTATAAAACAGAAAAATAAATCAAACGATTTATTTCGTTTACAAAATAGGAAACTAAATCCGATTTATTTCCTTTTACAAAACATGAAACTAAATTTTATGATTTATTTTCTTTTACAAAATAGAAAAATAAATTATACAAATTATTATTTTTTGGATAAGTAAGCTTTTTATTATCCAAAGAGCAAAGTTGCTACAACAAATGTCCCATAAGGAATAACCAATTACTTACAACAAAAAATGGTTAGTCTATACCCCAATAATAGCATAAGGTACAATTAACTTTATATATTTTATTGATATTTTTGCCTCTAAATTGGATTCGGACTAGCTCTTTGATGGATGACAGAATTTGATCGACTTCTCTAGATCCTCGATGATAGATTCTTCTATTTCTCTCCTCCCATATCAAGTAGATAAACGAAGTCCATGCGAGCTTTAAGATTGTAGTAAGAAGGAATTTACCTTTCCATTCGTCACATGCCCAACTAATCGTTTCTTCCCATGTCATGTGGGATACTCGCAGGTGAGAAAGATTAAGAATGGAGCTCCATAGAAATTTAGTAAAGCTGCAATCAGAAAATAAATGATCCCTAGATTCATTAGTCTCGTTACATAACACACAACTAGTATCATTGACAATAAAATATAGAGATACTATAAATCACTCTAGAGACTCAAAGAGAAATGCTGAGATTGCATCATTAACATGGGATTGTCATGAAGTTGTTCTTTTTTGGTGCAAATCCATTCCATAATCAGGTTTACCACCTGTAGAATATTGAAAGATTCAAACACCTAATGACTTAAAAAACTTAGAAGTTAGAACAACTCAGAACAAGGAGGTAAGCTATTCAATGCATAGATAAGACTGCCAAAAAATCAGTAGACGGCAAGCTAATATACTGGAATGTCTTAAAACTTAGGTACTAGCTTAAAACTGGATTCCGAAGACATATATAGCATATAATTCTGTCAACCAGAAAAAAATACACTAAATTAAAACACAACCAGAGAATATTCATGCACCTTAAAATCCTGGTAAGTAAAGCAGGGAAATAACATAGGTGTAAAAACGGCGTTGCTTGCTCCCGTCGCAAAAACACCGAAAAGATCATGAGCTGCAGGGTTATTCAGGTTTATACCGGAAAAAAATTTCCTGCAAATTTCGTTAATAAACAAAATCAGGGGGGACTAAAGCAACTAAATTGTAAAAAATGGGCTAGTTTCAATGTCATAATTGCATCCTAAACAAATAATTGAATCAAAAACAAAGTAAAGAAAAGGAATGAACTAGCAAAATATCAAGGATCTAAAAAAATGGGTGATTGAAACTTACCAAAAGAGAAGAACCAGTATCCAATCCAGTATCCAAGTTTTAAAAGTAACTGAATTTTCACAAGTTCGGATAACACAGGAGTTACTTGATATAAAGCACTACTCGCATAACATGTCTGTAGCAAAATGCTAGACAAGCTCCTAGACATCTGACATGGCATAACTTAGAAAAGCTTTCCTGTGAAAGGCATACTTTTAGACATGAATTGCCATCTCTATCCCCGCCCTCCTACATCTTGGTCACAAAGATACTAACTTTAAAAAAAAAAACTACATTGGTAATTAAGTTGCATTAAAATGCACTGAATTTTGCATAAGTCATCATCTCATACTCTTTCCCACAACAACATTAAAAGGCTGCTTCTTCTGAATCAATAGGTAAATCCTGAAACTTAAGTATAGTTGCTTCTTTTTACTTAAGAAAACAATCTAATGTTGTTTTGACCAAGCAATACAAGGTCAAACAAAGTATGAGTGAAGAAAAGGGTTTTGTTTTGATTGAGCAGTTTGTTACCACAATAAGTGTGGTACAAACACAAAATTTGAGTTTCAGGGGCAATAATTTCCACCTATCAATAGATGGAACTCAAGAAAAATAGACTCCATCAGTAACAATGCTCACATCTGGGTCCATAAAGTCAAACACTAGAATTCCAAGCCTCTCCTCACACTTTAGCCATGAAAAGATAGTCCTGGCTGTTCTCTTGTCGGTTGGATTAAAGGGAAGGAAGTGAACCTCTATGATTTCGGCTCATGCCTTTCGATTGTCAACAGAATAAACTCAATTCAATTCAACATATACACGTATGGAGAATATAAGATATTGTAAGGAGACTGAGAGTGTCATCATAAAACTCCCATAACCATCATATAAAAGGAAGAGTTGAAGTTGACAGTATTTTTCATTAAATAAAATGTTTTACCTCTTTAGGATCAGCCAACATTGTTACAGTTGCAGTGTCTATAGCATCTTGATTCTCCAATCTCGAAGCTCTTGCTGCCATCAAAACAACCATATACTTATCGACGTTGTTGACAAAAACCTATGATGAAAAGAGTTACATTTTAAGTCTCAACATTGTAGATGGAAAGTTGATAGATCTCAAAGAGACAGTTCTTTGAAGAATAAAATAAAGTGATCAAATCTCTGACCTTTATCAAACATTTGTAAACTGTAAGCTTGTTAAGTGTCAATGTGCCTGTTTTATCACTGCAGAGCACATCCGTCCCTGCCATTTCCACAATGGCTGTCATTCTCTTTGTTATGAAACCCTTCTGTGATAAGCGATGAGAGCCAATCGCCATAGTGACAGAAAACACGGTCGGCATAGCAATTGGGATACCACCGATAAGGATAACCAGCAAGTGATCGATACCAGTTCAATAAGCCATACGTTGAGGTCTGTATATAACAATGATTTCAATCAGCTTCCCAATGGCAATGGAGCATATGCAGAAGTTACCGATTGAAGTTAAGACCTGAAATTAACTATCAGTCAGTTCCTGGTTATCGCATAATCGGCGGCTCTCTCATGCAGTTTACTTAACAATAAAGAATATTTGATTTAACACAATTTGATATTCCTCAACATCTGCTAGAATCTATTTTATTTGGATAGTAAGAGCTCTGCAAGATGAACCTTTTGAAAGTGCCCAACATGTGTTGTGTTTCCACAAGATGTGCTGCTTTCCCAAAGAAAGTATGCACGCCGGTTGCGATAACTACTGATTCGATTTCACCTTGTTTGCATGTTGAACCCGAGTAAACTCAGTCAGGGGGATTTTTAGTAACCGGGAGTGACTCTCCTGTAAGAGATGACTGCAACCAACGATAAAAAAATGTAAAGTTGTATGAGCATCTAATTATGCTTTAAAAAGGCAAGAATGAAAGCAAAGCCTGGAACCTGATCGATTTTCAGTCCTTGGAGTAAACGAGCATCGACAGGGATAATATCACCAAGTTTGATGCTGGTAATATCTTCAGGAACCAACAGCGAAGTATCTTCTTACATTTGCAGTTTCTTGCCCTGGTTGGTGATCAACTTGACTATGGAGATAATGTTTGTGGTGCAGTGCTGAGCATTCGCTTCAATGAGGATATATTGAGTGTATGGATTCGTAATGCGTCTTGTCTCTGCTCAACTGATGCTAGTTGTGACTGGTAGGTCGGGGTATAGTATTCAGATACAAAGTAAAGCAAATAAGAAATTAAATATCAGTGAAAAAGAATTCAAATGTTAGACTAAATCTCCTAGGTAACTTCCAACCTCCTAATTCAAGGAATTCAAATAAAGATAGTCTAAGTAGCATCCCAATATATGAAAATCTTGGAAAAAAGGGAAAATACCCATGTTGGACACAATATCCGTGTCCAAAATTCATACCTAAGTTCAAGTAAACATAGCTTAGGAAACACCGAAGTGATAAAGATTCAGTATTAATGGAGAACATAATAGAACACTAAGGAGAAAGGAAAGTATTAAGCCATAAGACCATAGGGGTGATAAAGGAAAGAATAAGGGATTGGTCTGATATAAGATTTTGGAGAAAATACAATATTGGTTAAGTGGAAACTTATTACTTCATTTCAACCTTAAACGGAAAAGATGAATAAATAGCAGGAAAGTAATATCCCTTGAGATAAGGAATAGGACAACGCTACAGTCTTCTGGGAAGTCTAGATGCTTACTTCTTTGATGCTGCTGCCATCTTACCACCAGGATTTATCCCTCTTTTAGCCATTTCATCACCGAGATTCAAGATCGGTATTCCATCAATATATAACATCATCATGACCCTCCTATTTAAACAGATAAATCTCACATTACGAAAATGCCAGGATTAGTAATAAAGCAGTAAAATATGTTCATGATGATAACAGCATAAAAAGCACCTGCCATCTAGAAAATGAAATATGTTAAGAATAGCGCACAGATTGAATTATTATACTGTTTTAGCAAAGAGGAAGAATATATGGTTAAAGAGATACGATGTCAGGATCTCTACCTTACCGTCAGTAAGATATGGTACAATCATGGTGAAATGATAAACATATGCATAAGAAATAGGTGCAACTGCTAACAGTAAATGCCAAATTCTGAGGTGATATCATTAGAAATAGGAGGCAACACGTGGATCGGACCCAAATGATATATATATAAACCTTAATGCAAAGTTCTAACACAAAGCAGTGTAGACCCAAATGCATACTCAAAACACATAGCTAGTACTAGGACAAACCTCCACAAGCAAGATGCAGAGTTCCTAATTTATCGGTTAAAATTTGTCATTATAAGAAGATAACAACAAGAACTTTCCTTGTAACCAAATATACTCAGTACCACATTTTGCAATATGAAAACCCAACTGGTTCCAAGAACAAGAACCAAACTTCAAGTTAAAGTCGAATGATCCAGAAACTGAGACATGTAAAGGAGATCATGCAACATGATTCAGAAACTTCAAGTTAAAGAACAAAGATGCACGAGCTTACGGTAAGAGGAGAAAATTAAACAATCTCAAGGCTTGGTAACTTCTATTAGAGGCAATGGCACAATTTTGAAAACTCTCAATTTCCGTTCTTCTAAGCTAGCTATCATCCAACATGTATGGAGAGAATGGAATAGACAAAAGGTAAAGTAGATGAAGACCTATAATTCAAGCAAATGATTCCACACCAAGAAGAATATAACACTGAGAAACCATCTTAAAGTACAAACTACCAAATTATGAACATTAGGCATCAAGATTAACATTGAAAAATGTTGAACAAAAAAGGTGAGCTCTTACGTAGGATACGGGAGAAAACAATGCTGGAAAAGGATAGGAATACTAAAAGCACACCCTGCGACGTAACCCACAATCCAAGTGAACAATGGAGCTTGTGGCTTCTCATTCCTGGAAACTGCTAGAACAGCTAATGATGCAACAATCTGACTTATATTGAAAAATTCAATACCCATAATCCAGTTACTTATATGCAATTCTGAGATTATTTTTCAGCAGCAGACCAGCTGCTTGTCGAATCTCTCCTGAATTTCCCTGCCAAAAAATTCAGGAATGAAAAAGCGTCTCCATTAGCACATGAAAGTAAACAAGTGTTTGTAATATATCCGAAGGCAAGGACATCAATTTATATTAGACTCCAATATATGGGCAAAACTATATCATAATGGATAGGTTTGATGAAGAAGCATAAATCCAATTAATACCCATAATCCAGTTAATCAAGAAACACGAAAATATAAACGTGGAAAGAAAATTATACTAAACTAGTAGAAGCAAACCTCGGCTCGAGCAAGTATAAAAACGATGGTTGTTGAAATCAGGGAACTGAGAGTAGTGCTGAAGCTTTTGCCAAATCTAAGACTTATCAACAGAAGAGTAAGGAGATATTTGCTACTCCAGTAATACAAAGATATCCGAATACTTGTTGTTCTCCGAATCAATTTATCGTCTCCTGGTGTTGAGGTTGTTTCATTATCATCAATTTCAGTAATTTCAGATGAAGTAGCGTTACCCTGCTTGAAATGATTCCGACTTCGGAATCGGAAAAAGAAGATGCAATCGTGGATACTAGAGTGGTTCTGGTGCTGCGAAACAGAATATGGAAATGAACTAAAAGTTACAAGTGAATTGCAAATGAAGCATCGAAAATGGAAGAAATGGAAATCCCAGTAGATGGAAATGAATTCTGAGAAACAAGTGAATCAGGGGGAGTTACGGTTGAGTTTTGTCCTGCGTTAGTTTTTTCTGGGAAGAGCAAAATCCCACATCCCTTAAGGAAACAAAACTGGAATGGTTTTTAAATACCAACCCCCATGATCTTAGTGTGGGCTGTAAGCCATGTGCACTTTTGTGCAGGGGTAGGCCTTTGGCCCACGTGTTGTAGTAGCTGCAAGTTTGGGTGGGCTTGCGGCTGCCTTTGAATCTTCCACGTGCGCAGGAAGGGTTTATAAGGGTTTATAAATGTTAACTAAGATTTACTATGGTTTATAAGGGTTTATAAGTATTTATAAGGGTTTGCTAGGGTTTACTTGGTTTTACTAGGGTTTATTAGGGTTACAAGCAGGTTTAGTAGGGTTTTATAGGTTTATAAGGGTTTACTAGTTTTTACTAAAATTTACTAAGATTTACAAGGGTTTTCTAGGGTTTGCTAGGGTTTATAATGGTTTATAAGGGTTTATAAGAGTTTGCTAGGGTTTATAAAGGTTTAGAAAGTTTTATTAGGGTTTATAAGGGTTTATTAGAGTTTACTAGGGTTTATTAAGGTTTGCTAGGGTTTAAGGTTTAGGGTTTCCTAGGGTTTATTAAGATTTACTAGGGTTTGTTAGGGTTTACTAGGGTTTGTTAGGGTTTATATGGGTTTACTAGGGTTTATTAAGGTTTATAAAGGGTTACAAAGGTTTATTAGGGTTTGCTAGAATTTGCTAGGGTTTATTAAGGTTTGCTAGGGTTTACTAGGGTTTACTAGGGCTTGTAAGGATTTATAAGGGTTTACTAGGGTTTACAAGTATTTATAAGGGTTTACTAGGGTTTCTAGGGTTTATAAGGGTTTACTAGGGTTTATTAGGGTTTTTAGGGCTTACTAGTTTTTACTAAAATTTACTAGGGTTTATTATGGTTTACTAGGGTTTATAAGGGTTTACTAGGGTTTCTTAGGGTTTATTAGGGTTTCATAGGGTTTGTTAGGGTTTGTTAAGGTTTTCTAGGGTTTCTTAGGGTTTGTTAGGGTTTTCTAGGGTTTTTAAGGGTTTATTAGGGTTTTTAGGGGCTATAAGGGTTTGCTAGGGTTTCTTAGGGTTTATAAGGGTTTACAAGGGTTTACTTGGGTTTGCTAGGGTTTACTAGGGTTTGCTAGGGTTTGCTAGGGTTACTAGGGTTTGCTAGGATAATAGGGTTTATTAGGATTTATTAGGGTTTGTTAGGGATTATAAGGGTTTACATGGGTTTATTATGGTTTACTTTGGTTTGCTAGGGTTTATTATGGTTTATAAGAGTTTATAAGGGTTTACTAGGGTTTAATAAGGTTTACCAGGGTTTACTAGTGTTTATAAGGGTTTTTTGAGGTTTATAAGGGTTTATTAGGGTTTGGTAGGGTTTGTTAGGGTTTGTTAGGATTTGCTAGGTTTATAAGGGTTTAAAAGGGTTTAGTTAGGTTTAAAAGGGTTTATAAGGGGTTACTAGGGTTTGTTAGGGTTTACTAGGGTTTACAAGGTTTGTTAGGGTTTATAAGGGTTTACTAGGATTTACTAGGGTTTAATGGGGTTTATAAGTATTTACTAGGGTTTGATAGGATTTACTTTGTTTACTGAGGTTTACAAGGGTTTACTAGTTTTATTAAGGTTTACTAGGATTTATTAGGGTTTAGGGTTTATAAAGGTTTACTAGGGGTTATTAGGGTTTACAAGGGTTTGCTAGGGGTTATTAGGGTTTACAAGGGTTTGCTAAGGTTTATAAGGGTTTACTAGGGTTTGTTAGGGTTTATAAGGGTTTAAAGGGGTTTACTAGAGCTTGCTAGGGTTTCTTAGGATTTGCTAGTTTTTCCTAAAGTTTACTAGGGTTTGCTAGGGTTTATTAGGGTTTTTAGGGGTTATAGGAGTTTAATAGGGGTTGTTAGGATTTATTAGAGTTTACTAGGGTTTTCTACGGTTTACTAGGGTTTGTTAGGGTTTCTTAGGGTTTGCTAGGGTTTGTTAGAGGTTCTTAGGGTTTACTTGGGTTTGCTAGGGTTTATAAGGGTTTACTAGGGTTTACTTGGGTTTGCTAGGGTTTATAAGGGTTTACTAGGGTTTGTTAGGGTTTGCTAGGATTTACAAGGGTTTGCTAGGTTTTCCTAGGATTTCCTAGGTTTTACGAGGGTTTACAAAGGTTTACAAGGGTTTACAAGGGTTTATTAGGGTTTGCTAGGGTTTTTTGGGGTTTATTAGGGTTTGCTAGGATTTGATAAGTTTCCTAGGGTTTGCTAAGGTTTTCTAGGGTTTATAAGAGTTTACTATGATTTACTAGGAATTACTAGGGTTTGTAAGGGTTTGTTAAGTTTTTCTAGGGTTTCCTAGGGTTTATAAGGATTTACTAAGGTTTACTAGTTTTTATGAGGGTTTACTAGGGTTTATTAGGGTTTGTTATAGTTTTCTAGGGTTTACTAGGGTTTGTTAGGGTTTACAAGAGTTTACTAGGGTTTGCTAGGGTTTCTTAGGGTTTATAAGGGTTTATTATGGTTTACGAGGGTTTATTAGGGTTTATTAGGATTTGCTAGGGTTTGTAAAGGTTTGCTAGTTACTAAGATTTACTAGGGTTTGCTATGATTTAGGTTTTTGATTAGTTTATTATTTATTCAAAGCCACGTAAAATTTATTCACTATAATATTTATAATATCAAATCAGTTTTAATTGTTTGGGTTTGTGATAAATATTTATATATTGATTAAATATTAAATCAAAACTGATTTTATTTCTTTTTTTTTAGGATTCGGTTCAATGACACATAGACATCTAGAAGAAAGTATCTAAGCATGGATTTCATATACCAAATATGAAGGTGGTTAACACTTGCGTATCTTAGTCTTAGTTCTTAAACATATAAAACTTTAAGTTAAATGAGGAATATTACTTGCCTGGGCAGGAAACCGACCATTGAAAGCAATTTGTTCCAAGTGCAATGTTCAAACAGAGGGTTTAGGTAAAGGTAATATAGGAAACTAATTTTCAACTGTTTCAGGGAAAGATTGGTGAAGATTGTAACAATATAGGAATAAGAGAGAAGTGAGATTTGGTAAAATTTATTGAAAATATAAATAAAAGATTCATCATCTATTATGCGTTGTTTTTCAGCTGTTTCAAGTTTATTTATTGATTTAAAAAAATCTAGAAAGTGGTGAAATAAAAAAATAATATTAAATAGGTTGTTTATGTTTTAAGTTTGAAGATTATTTTTTTTATTTTAAAAAGTATTTTTTTATAATAAAAAAATCTAGAGAGAGATGAAATAGAAAGATAATATTAAATGTGCATATACCGACACAACGAGTTCTAATGTCATTTTTAGGAAAAGTCAAATCCATAATAATGGCATAAAAGATCTTATAAAAAAAATCTTAAAAAAAGGATTTTTATAAGAAGAAAAAATGTCTATAATTAGAGTTGATGATCACATTTATGCTTTTGATTTCGGGCACGAGAGCCAAATTAGAGGGGTTTGGATTTAGGTTTGAGTTCGAATTCGACCCGATTGGATCAATTTTTTTTTAAATTCAAGTTTGAGTCGGGTCGGATTAAATTTCTTAAAGGTATTGTTCGGCTTTAGAAACATCAATAGCAAATTTTTTTGAAACCAATCAAGAATTAAAACTTGCCTCGTTTCCGGTTTTGGCGGTCTTCTTGATCTCTGCCACCAATTTCTTTTCCTCCAGTTGAAGAGAGGCTCAGTCAAAATTCAAAGACGCAGATGCCGATTCTACATTCATTAGAGAAAAATGAAGAGTTCGGGCAATGTAAGTACAGAAAATGAACACATACCAGGAGTTGCAACCTCCATTTCTCTTTTGCTCGACCGCAAAGCATCTGGATTTTTTTATAAGAAAAGGTAAAATATTCGGTGTAAGTGTAAACATAGAAATGGAACTTTCAGAGTTAGCAGAGAAAGTAATGAATGGGTGGATCTGAAATACCTTTGGGAGATTCTTTCTTCTTGAAGATTTTCAGCATGATATCAACTGAACTGCTTTTCCCTTCAAAATCAAACAAACAGACGGGTAAGAAGAACCCTTTGAATGGGAAACACGAATGAAAAATAGTGTGAGCACGTGAAAAATGGTCTAAGGCTTCGAGGAGCGTGCCACTGCTGTGCACCACTTCTACTCTCCAACGGTAAGCCTTATAGTGGCCCTCGCACACCATTGAACTAGCCGTTACAATTTTCAAAGGTTCGGGTTTGATTTCTATTTTTTTAATTCATTGGATAACAATAATATACACTTTCATCAAATACATAATCACACCGACACATCTTACTCACAAAATGTCTCCAAATGACCTGAAAGGGAATGGATGTCTCTAATTTTAAAGCAAATTATGTATAATCACTGCAACACCACTAATAACAGTGTCTATAATCACTGGCTGAACTACTAACACGACTGAACCAGGAAAAGCAGACTTTTAATGACAGAGGATATCATTACATTCTATCTGAAGAGATTCGAGAGAGCAAAATCTGTTGCACAGTTCACTATCTACAAACAGAAAACAAGAACATGACTTACTAGAGGCTATGGAGGAATTCTAGGTTCTCAAAAAGATTGATAATTTACAGTCTTTATGAAGAGGCCAAGGAATGAAGTATTGACCTACTAAAAGAATGGTGAAAAGAGCACGAGTCTATAATTCGTGAGTATTGTCCGTTACTTATTAAATAAAAACAACAAACTGCAGCTCTTTAATCATTTTCGGATATATTATACAGAGTAACAGAAAACAAAGTACATGGATACCAAAGAGTAATATCATTGTGTTACTTTAGGTTTGCACCATAGTCTCATTTCCAGGGGCACGAGTCCTGGATCAACAATCAGCCAAACAGTTCTAAGCGAATGCCATGTGAATCATGATCTTTTATTTGAAAAGGAGACAATTCTAAATTTAATATCATACAATTTCCAAAACTATATCAACATTTTTCAACTCTATATTAAACGATAAATCTCACACTTTTGTATTTGCTCTGTACAA